ATGACGGTGATTCTATCTATCACAAAGCCTACCCCACACGCACATCTCCATTACGCACGTACCCTGCGGCACTAGGCCATTACGGTCGCCAGACCCGACTATTGGTCCAAGTCGAGAGCACTACAAACCGGCGGCCGCCCCTGAATCTATCCAAACCTGTGGACTTGTACAGGTGACACGATAAATCTCGCCAGCTCGACTAGGAACCGAACTTCGCTTCTGCCACGTTTTCTGTGTCATTAAACCTCATTTCCATTTTTAAAAAATTCAGTCTCTTATAACTCTGGTATTAACAACAACTGAATAAGTGTTAAAGTTTCAAAGAGCAATAAACAACATTTAGATTCGCCATACAACCTTGTGAAATTTTAAACAACAAATAATTCTTGTTGGACATCAAATAATTTATATGATAGAAACATTCATCAACAAAGTATTTACAAAACAAAACTTAGCAAGGATTTATGAAACAAGAGATCTGGTGTGAAATGAACTTGTACAAACAGAAATATTCTGTGAGGTTAAAACTGTAGAACATGAAATTTACGTTCAATTAAAATTATACAACAAATGAAAATTACTGATGTTAAAATTGTGAGATTAAAGAAATATTGTATGAGGTGAAAATCTGCAGAGTTAACAAAATTTACATGAGATTAATAATTGCCACACTTTTTCAATGATTCAAACAAAGTGTTTACATTATGTCAAATTATATCATGACCTAAGTGATTGGTTACATCAAAAAAACAATTTACTTTGAGAGTTTAAAATACCGCGAACTGGTTACCCCAACAAAACACATAATAAACAAACACAAAAATATCCAATCATCGCTCCGAGGGAAAAAGCGTGTCGGTGATGTAAATTCTAAAATCGTTACGAGGAAAAAGTGTCTCGGTGATGTTATTAATCTTTAGCGTCGCGAGGACGAACCTCTATCAATCTGTAGCGTTGTGAGGGCATGCCTCGATTAATTAATCAATCTGTGGCGTTATGAGGCATGCCCCGATGAATTAATCATGATAACGATGATAACCACCTAAGGGAAGAAAATATCATAACCCCCGCACGTGTCTCGCGTCGACCGGAAGTCCGCATTTCTCCGATTAAAAGGCCGCAAGAATTAACCGCGCGGGTTGGGGACAACAAGAGTGACGTCAGTTACGATTGATTGTCGTTAAACAAAGGCTTCCTCCCATTTTATTAACTACCAAACCAACTAATTTAAACCTAGCTCTTACCACGTGGTTACACTCACACCAGCACATTCAGACTGAATCTACGCCATGCACTTTAAACAGCAAAAAAATTACATAAGATTAAATTGGATGTTATTTCAAGTGATTCGTTATAATTCACAGATGTAAAAAATAAACACGTATACTTTACGATCAAAATCAAAATCTGCTGACCTCGGAAACACTCGGCTTACGTCGAGGACAAGGGTTCAAATGTAAGCCGCAAGAAAATTATTATACCTGCAAGAAAATAATTAGACTTGAAATAAACTATTAAACTAGTAGCAATCTCGAGTGAGAAATTAAAAAGTGTCCGTAATATGTACACAGTAAAAACATCCAGAAACTTTAGTTATAACTTGATAAACGAAACATAAACCCTGACTAAGTAAATTTCCTAACACGTAGTTACGTAGTTTTATGAAATGCAAAAGCATTAAATTGTGTTGAAATCTTAACATGAACTGTGAGTTTACAAACAATAAACAAAAATTGACACCATGTCATGTCGTCACCGCATTTTCCTTTTCAGTCCAAGGCAAACTATGAAATATAAAAAAATTAGCTTTTTTAATCAAATCTTTACAGTGAATTGCTGAACTTTGACTTTGTGTTATTTTGAAAATGGTTTAGTGTTTTTACTGAGTACAAAAATGCTGTATATTATATATGCATAATTTTATAACATGGTGGTATTTATGATATTGATAAGTCGTAATTCGGTGGAGTTTTTTCTTGTTTTTGACAATTCTTCGTCCCCAAAAACTTTCACTGACTTTGAGGAACTAAAATACGTTGATCCTTGTCAAGGTTGATAATTTATTATTTTAACTTATTTTTAATACGAGTCTCCATTGTAAGAATACAAAACTGACGAAACTAGTTAATTAAAAATGGTTGTTATACAGGAGCTTTCAGTTACAGAAACGTGTGTGTTATCAATGTTATCACTTATCACTATCGTACCTCTAATGTACATAATTAAAATAATTCACCTAATAAAATATTCTTATCACAACTACTTTCAACAAGTAATCGAAAAAAACGAAGCTTGAACATTTAGTTATAAAGGGTATAAAAAACAACTAACGGTTCAAGATCACCACTCAGAATGGGAGCATCACCTGAGCAGCATTCGATTCGCCATAAACTCTACATGTTGCGATTCTACGGGATATAGTCCTTCGTTTCTCACATTTGGTAGGGAGATACGAGCTCCTTATGATCCTGTATATGATCTACGCAAAGTGATTAATGCAGAAAATTTCATACCAAGAATAACTTCTTACTTAAAGAAGCTAGCTACTACTCTGTCTGAGGCAATGGATAGAAATTGCAAGAAACAAGATGTCCAGAAAACACGCCTAGATTCCAGACGAAGACCAGCTGTATTCAAGAAGGGTGACAAGGTTCTCCTGAAATCTCATACTCTCAGTTGCTCCAAAAGTGGATTCTCTTCAAAGCTTGCCCTAAAAACAGATGGTCCTTATATGATCTTGCGAATTACTTCTCCTACAACCTACGAGTTAGGAAGCTGTACAAATCCTCCGTTTGTTGAAGGGACTGGAAGTGATACATTAACGCCCTTAATACCAAAACGGAGGAGGAGTCGTCCTAAAAAGGATGTTTCATCCTAAACAACACCGGAGGGCCGTTTGTATTGTTTAGAGGGGGAGTTTGTAACGGAACTTACTTTTGAAAAAAGAAGAGTGGGCTGATTATAAAAAGGTTGACAGATAGAAAATGGTATATTTTGTTGATGTTTTGTACAGTTAAATAAATGAATCATATTATACACTTCATTAAATCTAGCACTGTACTATGATCATTGCGGCCCACGTTGTCTTTCAGAACATATTATTTTGTTGTACTCTATTTTGTTCAAAGAGGTATACATGGTTTTTAAGTAATTGGTATGAGGATTTACAACAGTGTACAAGTACATTAGAATTAAAATTACCATTTATAGGAATTCAATTCTTATTAAAGGTAAAAAAATTAAAATATTCTGTTCAAGCCGTAACAATACCCTTGGACTTAAATTTGCATGCGGATCTAGTGGCCATTATCTATTGCAAAAAGTGCGATTACCATTTCCGGACAACGGAAGCTTAAAATTTCGAAAGAATAGTGTTAGATGAAGTTGATTTTATGAAAATTAAGACTGAAATGTTGAGTCAAAATTTCGGCAAAGATTGTATGGTCGTAGTGAACGAAATGGACATTAAACCTAATTGGATTGTTACATCCAAAGTGGAACAAATATTGGTAGTGTTACTTTACTGAAGCATGAAAGAATTGCTACCAATGCTAGGTGAAATCAAGTAGCAGCATATTATCACATTGGCGATAGTACCAAAGGAGCAATTCTTGCAGATATTTTAAATTCTTTTAGTGACTTCAGATATGGGTTCAGCTTATCAGGCAATGTGGACACTAATCTTTTAATACCATGATAAGGGCACACACCTGGCCGTTTTTTAACTTAGTTTTATGTTTGTTTGTTGTTCTATTTGAAAGTGACATTAAAAACTGACATTTTACGCACTAATTGTGCAACAAGTGCGTTATTATGAGTGTGAAAGTGATGTAACCAGTTAATTGATATAGAGGAGTTAAAGAAACATGTGTTATCAGTATCATACTTCTAACAATATGTAATTAAAATAACTATATGGTAAAATATTTCCGTCTCTACCACTTTGAATAATCCAGCAAACTATATCCAGAGTGACGATTTAGTTGTAAAAGCACCAACAACAAGCAAACACTTGAAATGGAGCAAAAAGAAAGAAGAAAGCAAAAAAAGATCCATCCAAAGGACAGGTCTAAATTTTTGTCGCAGTTTCTATTCTGGTACCTCACTTTAAAAATTTTTACCCTTATAAACACCACCTTTCCTCAGCTGGCAACTACCAATTTTATTAAAATCGCGCACCTTCAATGAAAACAGCTTGTACGAAGCTGCAAAAGAACACAAGGCTTCAGCTCTCGGAGACAAGTTGGAATTTTTTTGGAAGGAAGAAGAAAACTATCAAAAGCACCCGTCACTAACAAGAGCTCTTTTAAAAAGCTTTGGTAAAGAATATTTACTACAAGGGCTTATACTTTTACCATTTGATCTTGGAGTGATGTTAGCTGTTCCTGAAGTTGATGTCACGTCACCAACACGTCTTAGTTTCAGGTTACTGGGACCTTATTTTATGAAGAAGTTTTTGAACTGCTTTGCACAACAAGAATGCGGCGGAATCAAAATATATCTGGTTACTTCGTTAATTGTTTCAGTAAATCTGTTGCAAGTGTTATATTTTCACTGGTTTTATTTGCAGTTTAGTTCTTTTGGAATCAAAGTTAGAGTTGCTTGTTCTTCGTTAATTTACAGAAAGTGTCTCCAGATGAAGAAACAGTCGTTTAAAAAAAAATCTGTTGGACAAGTGGTTAATCTGTTTAACGATGTAAACAGATTCAACGATGTTTTCATCGTTTGTCACTACCTATGGATTGCACCTTTAAAAATTTTGGTTTTTCTTTATTACATAAACACCCTTTTAGGATCCACAGCACTTACAGGAACTGCGATAATTATTACTTACTTTTTAGTACAGTGTCTGTAGTTCGCACTTGTAGTATCTTCACTGAAAAAATGTTTTAGTGGTTGTTTCCAAACAAATGTTTTTGAGAAAAATTGAAGTGGCTTTGAAAACCGACGACAGAATTCGTTTAATAAATGACGTCATCTGTGGAATGCAAACAGTGAAGATGTACACGTGGGACACATCTTTTTCTAAACTTGTTAAAGCTGCTAGAGGGTAATGTCTGTATGTTCTTATACCACGTCTGAATTAACAAGAGATTTGTAGATCTGAAATGAAGGCACTCATTAAAGCTAATTTATTAACAATTAATAACGACACTATCAGGTTGTATGTTACGAAAATTGCAATTTTTTTATGTGTAATGAGCGCCATTTTGACTAAGGTGTCTTTAACGCCTGAATACATTTTCCCTCTGATGAGTATATACGAAAACCTAAACCTTATAGGCGTGCTACGCTTTCAGGTGGCTGTGACTTACTATACAGAAACTAAAACTTCCGTCGCCCGCATTCAAGAATTTCTTCTTTCGGGACAGAAACAAACTCGTTTAAGACAGCTATCAAAAAGTACTGACACTTGCAATCCAAAGTCATACAAAAGTTCTGAACCAAGTGTTAATGGAATTCATCTTAACAACGTCAACGTGACTTTCGATACCTTCACCGTGTTGGAAAATGTTACCTTCTCAGCCCTTCCTGGAGATCTAGTTGGATTATCAGGAAAATCTGGAAGCGGGAAATCAACACTCCTGCAAGTCATCCTCCAAGAAATTAAAGCAAAAGGCTCGATTGCCGTCGGCGGAAAAATTTCGTACGCGTCCCAAGAAGCTTGGATTTTTTCCGCAAGCATTAAACAAAACATTCTTTTCGGGGAAGAAGAAGACGAGAAGAAATATCTCAGAGTGGTTCGAGCGTGTGCTTTGGAACGCGATTTTTCTGTTTTCGCTAACGGTGACCAAACTCTCGTCGGTGAACGAGGGGTGATGTTGAGCGGAGGCCAAAAATCGAGGATAAATTTAGCCAGAGCTGTGTATCGAGATGCTGATATTTATTTATTAGACGATCCTCTAGCTGCTGTTGATGCTAGTGTGGCGCAACACATCTTCAATGAGTGCATTTTGGGGTACTTGAAAGACAAGTGCGTAGTTCTGGTGACCCATCACTTGAAGTACTTGACGAACGTTAAAAAACGATATATTATAGATAAAGGAAAAGTGATCCAGGAAGCTTTGAGTGAAAGTGTTTTTATGGAGCCTGATGAAGGAGCACTCGAAGAAGACGTTGTCAAATCTCACAATTTGCCTCCCGAAATTCCTGAAAGTGTTACAACCAAATACAGCACACAACAAATTTACAGGAAGTATTGTTTTTCTGGAAACAACTGGATTCGACCAAGTTTGATAATCATGCTACTTTTATTAACTCACTCCTTGAACAGCTTCATTTCTGTGTTTGTTGTTTTTCCCGCAAATTCAAACAAAACAGAGACGCTCTATTTTTTCAACTTGACATTAGAAAGTTTCTTATATGTTTATGCGTCTCTGATTGTTCTTCTCTTCTTGCTTAATCACACCTTATCTGTGATATTTATGACACATTTCATGTCTGTATCAAAAAATTTACACAATTCCTTGTTGGACAAAATTTTGGCCGTTCCGATGAAATTCTTCAACGAGCATCCTTCTGGTAGGATTCTTAACCGGTTCTCGCAAGATGTGGGTTGCGTTGATGTAATTGTACCGATCTGTTTACACGAAATGGTGAGAACAGCCTTGGATGGACTTGGAACAGTGATAATTATAATAATTGTAAATTATTGGTTAATATTACCAACGTTAGCAGCCATTCCTTTGATTTATTTCTCCACTTGGCTCTTTCAACCACTCAACAGAAATCTAAGAAAGCTGGAAGGAATCTGTAAGTTGGCAGCTCCCTCTTTATCATATAAAACTAGCAATGTTTCAGCCAAAAGTCCTATTCTGACTTACGTCGTTACTTCGCTGCGCGGACTTCCAACAATACGGGCACTTAACAAACAAAAAGTTTTAATTGAAGAATTCGATTACCACCAAGACACTCATTCCTCTGTTTTCTACTTATTTAAGTCTTTATTTTTTACTTACACGTTTTGGATCGATTTAATATGCTGCATATATTCCACAATTGTCACTTTCAGTTTTTTAGCTTTCAACACAGGTGAGTACCACGCGGTACGTACTAGAACTTTGCCCACAACATGTTACTTTCAGAGACATCGGTAGCAAATATAGGTTTAGCAGTCAGTCAAGCAAATTCCTTGGTAGGTTTAATCCAGTACGTTATGAAAACGTGGAGCGAATTGAGTGCCAACATGACTTCTGTAGAACGAATACTAGAATACACAGAATTACCGCAAGAACCAAACGATGGTACTTTCGTGCCACCACCATCGTGGCCCCAACTCGGACAAATCGAGTTTAAATCAGTATCGATGCGGTACGCTCCACACAAACCTTTAGTACTAAAAAATATTGAGATTAAAATTCAGCCAAGGGAAAAAGTGGGAATCGTTGGCAGAACTGGAGCCGGAAAAAGCTCTCTGGTGTCCACTCTGTTTCGTCTAACGCATTTCGAAGGTCAGATTCTCATAGACAACGTAGACACCAAAATCGTACCGCTGAATGTTTTGCGATCAAAAATCACCATCATTCCACAAGATCCGATACTATTCGTAGGTCCTTTAAGAAAAAATTTAGATCCGTTTGATGAATTCAGTGATTCTCAAGTTTGGAGTGCCTTGGAGGCTTTCAACTTGAAAGCGTTTGTATCAAACTTGCCACTGGGTCTTGAGACTCTGGTGGACGAAGGTGGTACCAATTTTAGCGTAGGACAGAAACAGTTGTTGTGTTTGTCGCGAGCGATGTTGAAGAAGACTAAGATTTTTGTCTTGGATGAAGCCACAGCTAACGTTGATTTGCAAACGGATGAAGCAATTCAGGCCACCATTCGAGAAAAATTTAAGGATTGCACAATTTTGGTGATAGCACATCGACTAGATACTGTTATGGATTTTGATAAAGTTTTAGTTATGGATGATGGGAGGGTTGTGGAATTTGGGAGACCTGAGGAATTATTGATATACCAATGTGGAAGTTTTTCTCAGGCTTTACAGCGAAATATAGAAAATTGAAACAGAAATATTTTGTTGTTCAGTAATAAATTGTACTTGGTTAAATACATATTATATAGACAATTTTGTTTTCAAACACTTACGTCAATTTTAACAACTAGAAAAAGTGGAAGAGATCAAGATCTATCTATCTATCCTGTTCTGGAAAGTACGGACAGTTTCTTTACGAATATAACCGAAAACAGAGAGCTTTATTGGGTGGTTTATTGATATCGAGAGATCATGGTCAGTAAATTTGGTCGATCTAGAACGCGGCAGTACGAGGGCAGAATATTATGTACAATTGTACACGCATAAATAACGAGCCCAGTGATAACATAGGCGAGAAGAGCCATTGGACAATTGTTATAGTCGAAGGTTGGGAAAAACTCTACGGTAGCTTGAAGAAATTCTTGGAGCTACTGGAAAACAGTTAGGGAATTAATAAGCATTTTCAAAACTGGTGTGTTAGTACGTAAAATAAACTAATTGTAAATACAGATAACTCTCATTAAAGTAAGTGCTTTCAAATAAATTAATTGCTAACCAGTATCTATATACTTATCCTTGACTTATATGAGGGAACGTGTAGTTAAAGGGATAATATTTATCTTCAAAATTTTAAAGCAGTACGTAAACATCATCAGTGATTTTGTTCCATTATCAGTAAAACAGCTACTCTGCGTAAAGTGAGGTTTATAAACTTGGGGTTGACGTTGGAGTTTCCGACACAGTGCTGTTTCTTTTAGAGCTGACAATTGTCATTTATAAACTCCGTTGAGAAGTTGCCGTCGATAGCAACTTTGATGTTCAACTCGTGCCGTATTTAAAGGGGTTATATGTAGAAGAAAAGTAGAGGATTTAAGTTGATTACTTCAAAAATTTACCATTTTAGACATGTTTTAAGTTTCTTGTTGACGAAATAAGTCTCCATGTATTAAGAAAAAAATGTCAAAATATAGCCCCGCCCACCCGCCCTATCTCAATTGTGATGATTTTTTTTAATCGTCGTAACCCGAAGAGAGGAATTTAGTTGTAAAAAAAGATACGAATTTAACTAAACTCACAAAACACTGTATATCTAAAAATGTAACTTTGCCCATGTTTATTACTTTAAAGAGACATTGGCCGGTCATCACGTTTTTGCCACTTCTTCCACATGAATAATGACTGTTAAATATCTGGTTGTTAACACCGAGTTTTAAATTTGAGAGAGAAAAGCTCGCTGGTGCTTACAGATATTGTTACATTGATCGGTGAATAAAGTCGACGTGGGTAAAACTCAACAATTTATTTCTTAATAACTCGAATTTACACGACTAACTATTACAGCGATTATGTACCAAATAATTCCGGCGCAACTTCACTGGACTCTCTTGACTCAACTGGTTGAATAATAATAATCGTTCCTGAAGGTGGCCTCTATTTAAATCCATAATTCTGCGATCGAGGTTTTTCTCGAATATTCATCGCGACTTCCGCTTGCAGGCTTTTCGAAGGCAGCTCCGAGACTTTCCTGGACGTCGCAATCGAGACTTCCGGTAACTTGCTACAGACTTGTTTTTATTATGCTAGCGTCGCACGCCCGTCCTGACTGACAATGACTCACCCGCACATTCTAGAGAACCCATAGGCGTCGTACCGGGGCGGAGTATGGGTTTATTTCAGTTTCCGCAACTGAGAAATTGCAGTTGTAAAAAAGTGCGTCAGATCTTTGCGTTATTCGGTTCATGTGACGATGGGCTAGTCCACCCTGGTCCACCCTCTTGATTGTAAGCAACGTCATACGTTCGGTTTTCTATATACGTGATTGAGAGTAAAGAATTCGAAACGCACGTCTTTGCATATCCCTGTTTTCTTGCTTCAAGCGGGGCAGGACGCCCTGGCGTCAACGTATATCTCAAACGCTGCAGAATCGGATCTCTCGATATTCGATTCAAGGATTCAATAAATTAATTTCGATTTTTTTACTTCTTCTGTATTGTAAAAGTATAGAGGTAATTATTTTTATTACTCTATTGAAATATGGGTAAGGTAGTAAGGAAAATAATCTTATGCGAAAATTCTTGAATACTATTGTTATAGAAAAGAACAACACCATAATAATTAATAAATACTTTTTCATATCAAATGAAAATTTGTAATAACCATATTCTTGTGTTATGACACCGTGTAAACTTTATAATGAATTATAAACTTAAAAATCCGAATAACCAATGATGAGAATAAGTAATACATTTATTATTGCAGTACGTATCTGACATGTGTATTTTTTTATTATTACATATGCATTTTTGTTTCATAAATACAACTGTAGCAGAGTCAACAAAAGTTAAATATACGCTTAATTTATTATTTAATTCAGACTTTCCGCACAGGTTTGTTACGCGCTTCTAGGATGGGCAAATCCACCCTGAAAATCGGAAGCACTCGGCATGGTTCGTCCTCGTCGGAGACACGACTCAATTCAATTCAGTCAGATCAGAAACTGCGTTGTGGATACTGTATTTGATTATAAAATGTAGCTTATTCAAATTACCAAACGTTTAAGCGGGTACCAAAGTAGGTACTTTCTAGCAATTTTTTTTTAATGGCAAATCCGACTGTAAGCTTGCAAATAAAATTAGAGAGGTGGTAAAGAAGGTATTAAAGACATTGAGTTTTTGTTTTTAATAAATAAATTCAGTAGTATGGAACTTGATGTTTATGAATTATTTGTTTATAAATTAAGATCATGTCCCGAAATGAAACAATTGGTCATCACAAACTCTCGTGGCAGTAATAAAGGCTTTAATCAAAATTCGGACAATAAATATTACCTATTGGCTGATCGGTAGTGAAACAACAAACAAAACTGTTGGAACTGTCTGCTATTTAACATAAAATTAAATTACGAACAAAACATGACCAATCTGAATAAACGAAAATTACTTGGAGAACGAAGTGAAACTATAGAATATTTTTTTTTAATTTATTCGATATGATAATTTTCTTGGCTACACAAAAACATACATTTCGGGGACAAGATGAATCGTAAATTTCTCTTAAAGTAAAGTTTTTGGAGGAGTCTTTGGTAATTAGTGGTCTTTCTAAAACCAATCAGAACGATTATTTTGGTATCATTTTTATTTTATTTGTTATTGTTAACTTTGTTAGTATTTTGAGAATTTATTTTTTGTTTCATTTGATATTTTTAATTTTGCTTTTACAATGATTTAAAATTTAACGTTTTCTCGTCATGTTATTTCAAAATCTTTACATGTTGGGATAATTATTTGAGTTTATAGTTCTATAAACTCCTAACAAATATATTTATGTGCTGAACCATTTTTTTGCTCCGCTTTCCTCTTCTAGCAAGAGTCTACGACGTTCTCGTTGGTTCTTGCTGAACGACATTGTAAGTAACATTTATAAAATAATATATATGTAATATACATAAAATATTTGTTATATTATATTGATTGACATGCAGCACCAAAACAAAAACACGTTCTCACAAAAATGATTAATTATACATATATATATTTCATACATGTTATAACCTACCTATAATGCTTTGCCCACCCATCAAAAATCACCACGAGCCGCCACTGCCATTATCATACTTTTAACACGTATAATTAAAATAACTACGTGATAAAGTATCCTTATCACAACTACTTCCAATAGTCGAAGTGTGTCTAGCTTGAATATTCAGTTGTAAAATACAAACACTCGGCAAACAATAGAAATGGAACAAAATGAAAGGCGAAAGCAAAAAAAAGCCCACCCGAAGGACAGGTCTAATTTTTTATCACACTTTTTATTCTGGTAAGTTACTTTAAAAATATTTTACTTATACACAACGCCTTTTCTTAGTTGGGAGCTACCAATTTTATTAAAATCGTATTCATTCACTGAAAACAACTTGTACGAAGCTGCGAAAGAACACAAAGCTACAGCTCTCGGAGACAAGTTGGAATTTTTTTGGAAGGAAGAAGAAAATTGTCAAAAGCGCCCGTCACTAACGAGGGCTCTTTTAAAAAGCTTTGGTAAAGAATATTTATTACAAGGGTTTATACTTTTACCATTTGATCTTGGAGTGATGTTAGCTGTTTCTGAAGTTGATGGCATGTCACCTACACGTCTTAGTTTCAGGTTACTACGACCTTATTGTATGAAGAAGTTTTTGAACTGCTTTGCACAACAAGAGTGCGCCGGCGGAATCGAAATATATCTGGTTACTTCGTTAATTCTTTCAGCAAATCTGTTGCAAGTGTTATATTTTCACTGGTTTTATTTGCAGTTTAGTTCTTTTGGAATCAAAGTAAGAGTTGCTTGTTCTTCGTTAATTTACAGAAAGTGTCTCCAGATGAAGAGACAGTCGTTTAAAAAAGAATCTGTTGGACAAGTAGTAAATCTGTTTAACGATGTAAACAGATTCAACGATGTTTTCATCGTTTGTCACTACCTGTGGATTACACCATTAAAAATTTTTATTTTTCTCTATTATATGAACGCCCTTTTAGGATCCACAGCACTTACAGGAACTGCGATAATTATTAGTTACTTTTTAGTACAGTGTCTGTAGTTCGAACTTGTAGTATCTTTACTCAAAAAACTGTTTTAGTGGTTGTCTCTAAACAAATGTTTTCGAGAAAAATTGAAGTGGCTTTGAAAACCGACGACAGAATTCGTTTGATAAATGACGTTATCTATGGAATACAAACAATGAAGATGTACACGTGGGAAACACCTTTTTCTAAACTTGTTAAAGCTGCTAGAAGGTAATATCTATGTGTTCTTTTAATACATCCGAATTGATAAGAAATTTGTAGATCTGAAATGAAGGCACTAATTAAAGCTAATTTAATAACAATTAATAATGACACTATCAGGTTGTATGTTACAAAAATTGCACTTTTTTTATGTGTAATGAGCGCCATTTTGACTAAGGTGTCTTTAACGCCTGAATACATTTTCCCTCTGATGAGTATATACGAAAACCTAAACCTAATGGGCGTGCTACGCTTTCAGGTAGCTGTAACTTACTATACAGACACTAAAACTTCCGTTGCCCGCATTCAAGAATTTCTTCTTTCGGGACGCAAAAAAACTTCTTTAAGGAAGCCATCGAAAACCACTGAGACTTGCAGTCCAAAGTCATACCAAAGTTCTGAACAAAGTGTTTATGGAATTCATCTTAACAACATCAACGTGACTTTCGATACCTCCCCTGTGTTGCAAAATGTCACATTTTCAGCCTTTCCTGGAGATCTAGTTGGATTATCAGGAAAATCTGGAAGCGGGAAGTCAACACTCCTGCAAGTCATCCTCCAGGAAATTAAAGCGAAAGGCTCGATTGCCGTCGGAGGAAAAATTTCGTACGCGTCCCAAGAAGCTTGGATTTTTTCCGCAAGCATTAAACAAAACATTCTTTTCGGGGAAGAAGAAGACGAGAAGAAATATCTCAGAGTGATTCGAGCGTGTGCTTTGGAACACGATTTGTCTCTTTTCGCTAACGGTGACCAAACTCTCGTCGGTGAACGAGGAGTGATGTTGAGCGGAGGCCAAAAATCGAGGATAAATTTAGCCAGAGCTGTGTATCGAGATGCTGATATTTATTTATTAGACGATCCTCTAGCTGCTGTTGATGCCAGTGTGGCGCAACACATCTTCAATGAGTGTATTTTGGGGTACTTGAAAGACAAGTGCGTAGTTCTGGTGACCCATCACTTGAAGTACTTGAGGAACGTCAAAAAACGATATATTATAGATAAAGGAAAAGTGATCGAGGAAGCTTTAAGTGAAAGTGTTTTTATGGAACCTGATAAAGGAACACTCGAAGAAGACGTTGTCAAATCTCACAATTTGCCTCCCGAAATTTCTGAAAGTGCTACAACCAAATACAGCACACAACAAATTTACAGGAAGTATTGTTTTTTTGGAAACCACTGGATTCGATCAAGTTTGATAATCATGCTACTTTTATTAACTCAGTCCTTGAGCTGCTTCATCTCTGTGTTTGTTGTTTTTCCAGCAATTTCAAACAAAACAGAGGCGTTCTATTTTTTTAACTTGACATTAGAAAGTTTCTTATATGTTTCTGCGTCTCTGATTGTTCTTCTCTTCTTGCTTAATCACACCCTATCTGTGATATTTATGACACATTGCATGTCTGTATCAAAAAATTTACACAATTCCTTGTTGGACAAAATTTTGGCAGTTCCGGTGAAATTCTTCAACGAGCATCCTTCTGGAAGGATTCTTAACCGGTTCTCGCAAGACGTGGGTTGCATTGATGTAATTGTACCCATCTGTTCGCACGAAGTGGTGAGAACAGCCTTTGACGCACTTGGAACAGTGATAGTTATAGTAATTTTAAATTATTGGTTAATATTACCAACGTTGGCAGCCATTCCTTTGATTTATTTCTCCACTTGGCTCTTTCAACCGCTCAACAGAAATCTAAGAAAGCTGGAAGGAATCTGTAAGTTGACAGCTCCCTTTTTATCCTATAAAACTAGTAATGTTTCAGCTAAAAGTCCTATTCTGACTTACGTCGTTACTTCGTTGCGCGGACTTCAAACAATACGAGCTTTTAACAAACAAAAAGTTTTAATTGAAGAATTCGAATACCACCTAGACACTCATTCCTCTGTTTTCTACTTATTTAAGTCTTTGTTTTTTACTTACGCGTTTTGGATCGATTTAATATGCTTCATATATTCCACAATTGTGACTTTCAGTTTTTTAACTTTCAACACAGGTGAGTACCACGTGGTGCTTACTAGAAGTTTGTCCACAAAATGTTACTTTCAGAGACATCGGTAGCAAATATAGGTTTAGCAGTCAGTCAAGCAAATTCCTTGGTAGGTTTAATCCAATACGTTATGAAAACGTGGAGCGAATTAAGTGCCAACATGACTTGTGTAGAACGAGTACTAGAATACATAGAACTGCCGCAAGAACAAGACGACGGTACTTTCGTACCACCACCATCGTGGCCCCAAGTCGGACAAATCGAATTTAAATCAGTTTCGATGCGATACGCTCCAGACAAACCTTTAGTACTAAAAAATATTCAGATTAAAATTCACCCAGGGGAAAAAGTGGGAATCGTTGGCAGAACTGGAGCCGGAAAAAGCTCTCTGGTGTCCACTCTGTTTCGTTTAACGCATTTCGAAGGTCAGATTCTCATAGATAACGTAGACACCAAAATCGTACCGCTGAATGTTTTGCGATCAAAAATCACCATCATTCCACAAGATCCGATATTATTCCTATGTCCTTTAAGAAAAAATTTAGATCCGTTTGACGAATTTAGTGATTATCAAGTTTGGAGTGCCTTGGAGGCTTTCAACTTGAAAGCGTTTGTAGCAAATTTGCCACTGGGTCTTCAGACTCTGGTGGACGAAGGTGGTACCAACTTTAGCGTAGGACAGAAGCAGTTGTTGTGTTTGTCGAGAGCGATGTTGAAGAAAACTAAAATTTTTGTCTTGGATGAAGCTACCGCTAACGTTGATTTGCAAACTGATGAAGCAATTCAGGCCACCATTCATGAAAAATTTATGGATTGCACAATTTTGGTGATATCACATCGCTTGGATACTGTTATGGATTCCGATAAAGTATTAGTTTTGGATGATGGTAGGGTTGTGGAGTTTGGAAAACCTGAGGAATTGTTGATAAATCAACATGGAATTTTTTCTCAAGCTGTACAGCGACATGTAGAAAAGTGAATTTTTTTTCTGTAATAATAGTAAATTATATTTGCTTAGCTATCTAGACAGTTTTATTTTCATCAATTTTTAGTAACAAAAAAGGATTCAACAGTTCATTAAATCTAGCACTGTAGTATGATCAGGGCGGTCCACGTTGTCTTTCAGAACATAGTTTTTCTACTCTATTTTGTTCAAAGGGTTATACATGGTTTTTAGGTAATTGGTATGAGTATTTGTAACAGTGTAACAATAACACTAGTATTAAAATTGCCATTAGAAAGAAAATCAAAATATTTTGATGAAGCCACTTCAATTGGTTTAAGTATTCAATCCGCAACTTCAGATATGGGTTCACCTAATAATAATAATAATAATATATTTATTGCCAACAGGTAATACACCCAGTTACAGGGAAACAGCAAAATATACCCTAAAACTACAAAATAAGAAACAAAACAATCATTCGCACAAGGCATCAAATTAAACTAAAAAATTCCAACACTATTCTAACGAACACTCCAACAAACACTTTCGTATTTTGTGAAATGAATCAGCATGTAGATCACAGCTTCCAGATATTTTGTTATATAATTCGCACATGAAGTTAATTGGCGATTTAACTGACGCATTAGTTCTCTTCCTTTGACAATAAAACATGAGGAATTGTCTTGAGTTACTTCTTGGTACAAGGAAGTTCAGCTTACTAAGTAAGTAATTACAATCGATATTGTTATTGACCAAACTGAGCAGAAACTTTAATGCGATAATCCTTCTACATGATGCAAGAGACAAGAAGTCGAACCTAGATAATAAAAGGGACTGATCTATACCTCGAACAGGATAGACAATTCGATATGAGAGAAATTTTAAAAATGTCCTTTGCACCGATTCTAAGTGCTGATATATAGGTGACCAAACTAAGGCAATATAGTCAAGTTTTGACCTCACTAATGAAAAGAAAAGGGTACGTAAAGTTCCAATTTTGGAAAACTCTCTGCAGTTCCTATAAATAAACCCATAATTTTTGAAAGCCATCGCGACAATATCGTTGATGTGATCTATGAAAGTGAATTTTGTATCAAACAAAACTCCTAAATCTTTAAATGAATCGCTACGTTTAATTACTGTGTCGTTAATAGCATATGAAAAAATCTTTGGAACCACTTTTCTAGTATACGTAACGCTGCAGGATTTGCTAATGTTAAGGAAGAGTCGATTTTTTATGCACCAATTTCCAATAGCTATTAAGCTGGCTTGAAGAATCATGCAGTCGTCGATAGAGCGTATAATTTGAAATAGTTTCACATCGTCTGCAAATAGCAATTTCTCCGAAGGAATCGTGTCTACAATGTCGTTGATAAATAACAAAAACAAAAGTGGGCCTAAATTGGACCCTTGCGGTACTCCAGAAGTTGGTCTAATAACCTTAGAAATAAAACCACGATATTTAGCATACTGTTCACGACCAAGTAAATAGGATTTAAACAAGTCAAGTAAATAGTTCGAAAATCCATAATGACACAATTTCTGCATAATAACGAAATGATCAATTTGATCAAAGGCTTTTTGGAAATCCAAATATATGGCATCAACTTGTTGTTTTTGGTCAATAGCTTCAGAGAGGTATTGAGTGAAACATGCCAAATTGGTAGCGGTGGAACGATTTTTCATGAAACCATGCTGATGAGGCGTAATGTACTGCTTGACCTTGCAATAAATATTCTTGTATATAATCGATTCAAACACTTTAGAAAAGTTGCTTAATAAGGAGATGGGACGATAATTTGTGACTTCGGCTGGATTTCCTTTCTTGAGAATTGGACAAATTAAAGCTTTCTTCCAAGCGTCCGGAAAAGTTGCATTACTGAGAATTAAATTAAATAAATGATGTAACGGTGTTACAAATATATGAGCACAATCTCTGAGGAGAAATGATGGAATCCCATCCAATCCCATATTTAACGAATTTTTGGAATGTTTTAGCGCCTCTAGGATCTCCCTCTCTGATATATAAATCAAGGAAACACCAGTTGTTTTAACGTCCGTTAATTCTGGCTCATTGATTGGAGTTGAAGCTGCGTATACAGAGTTGAAATAATCGCTAAATGTGTCAACGATCAATTTGGGACAATTGGTTTCTGTATTGTTATAATTCATTATACCTGGAATTCTAGAGGTACCTCTTTTACTTTGAACAAGTGGCCAGAATTTTTCAGGATCTTTAGAAAGGGATAGTTCAATGTTCCTCAAATAACTCATGTAGCTTTGATTAATAAGATTGTTAGTGGTTCTTCGATATTCCTCATACAGATAACGATAATAGGAAGACTTATATTTTTTATAATTTTTGAACGCTGAGGATTTTCTACGTAGATAAAACAATATTACTCCGTTGAACCAAGGAGGATAACGCTTGTGACGTCTACCTATGTATTTATGAGTTGGAACTGTTTCCTTAAAAGCATTATTTAAAATATCATAAAGTTCCGAGCAAACAGTATTGACATCGTTTATGCTAGTAAGATATGACCAGTCAGTCGAAAGTAATAAACTGTACAAATGTTGAAAATTAGCTTTCTTGAAGTTAAAACTTTTGGCTTGATCATTTACAGCAAAATGAGAAAGTTTCGTGTAGTTAAATGTTAAGCTAATTAAAAGAGCAGGATGGTAAGAGTCTTCCGGAACAAGAGAATGGTCAGATCTCTCAACTAAACAATATTTGTTGGAAAACACTAGGTCTAAAATACTCCCATGGTCGTTAGGTATGGAGTTAAATTGGATAATATTATAGAATTGACTAAAATTGTTTAAAATAATACTCTGACGGTCATTTGAGACCGAGCTGAATTTCGGAGTATTAAAATCACCCATTATTGCAATATTTTCGTTCTCTATAGAGGATAAATTATTACACAGGTCAAAGAATAACTCAAAATCCTGGAATGAAATTGACGGTGGTATATAAATTACAAATACAAGAAGTTTACAATTGTTATTTCCAGTTAATTTAGCACCAACAACTTCAACCGTAGGAACTAGGGCGTTGATATCAAATAGATTTAACTGAACTGAGTCAATACAATTGTTAACGGCTAAGAGTACTCCGCCACCTGTAAAAACACCAGTTAATTCCAAATTTCTATCCGTGCGATAAACAGAAAAATGAGTGGGAAAAAGTTCATCAGAGAGTAAACCATCAGTAGCCCATGTCTCAGTCAATGCTATTAGATCAAAATCAGACGATGAGACGTTATTATAGAAATTTACACATTTTGAACGTAGGCCTCTCACATTTTGGTAAATGCAATGAAGCAAGTTATAACTGGGCGTATTACTTGGTTGAACGTGCGATGGACGGGACACCGTTGTAATATTTTATTTTCAGATTTTTTTCGCCTTTCGAGATCCTAGATTGTAATTCTTGTTGTAGACGCTTATAATGCTCAATTTGTTTCGGGGTTTTATCGAAAGCAACACATACATTTCTAAAGTGTTCATTGTTTTTTAAAGCTTTCGCATTTTTTATCATAGGATGGACGTCGTTTTCTTGATTTAAGGTAACCTTTATTACCCTTGACTTAGGATTGACTGGATCTAGTCTCCCTAACCTTTGTATTCGTATTTCATTTGTAGAGACATTGGGATTAATTGCGTTTAAAATATTGGTAACCTTAATACGATCCTGTTCTTTTTGATTTTCAAATGAGACATCGAGAGTTTCCGGAACATTAAACATTACTATGTTTTGTTTGCGTTTTTGACGTTCGTAGATTTCCTGCACCACATCTTCAAAATTTGTACTTCCTGAACATTGTTGTTTTTCGGTCAGAGAAGCTTTTAATTCGTTTAATTTTAACTCAAAGTCGCTCTTGAGACTTGCTAAAGATGTTTCGAAATCAGTTTTAAGCGACGAAATTATTTCTTTCAGATCTTTAAACTGCGTCAAATTAGTATTACAAGAATTGCAGATCACTTTTATAAATTTAGATGTTTTTCTGGTAATTTTCATCTCGTTTTCTGATAAACCAATGCAACTGACCCTGACAAACATCGCATTGAATTGAGCATTCGCTAGCTTTAATAAAATCCCCACAATTATTAAGACAGACACTCATTTTGTAAATTATTAATGCTGACAGGATAAGACTGGGACACAAACTTCACACCTAGGGGCCCTTCGAGGTGACTAACATGAGACGCGCAAGAGAGGCCACGGAATAACAAATAATAAGAGACAGAGGAAAAAGTCAGCTGATAGTACTTAACAAAAACTGATATACTCACTAAACAACTTACTGAAACAGAAAAAACTCAATATGTAAGCTACTAATCAGGCAATGTGGACATTAATCTTTTGATATCATGATAAGGGCACACACCCTGGCCGTTTTTTAACTTAGTTTTATGTTTGTTTTTCTCTTTGAAAGTGACATTAAAAACTGACATTTTACTCACTAATTGTGCAACAAGTACGTTATTATGAGTATGAAAGTGATGTAACCAGTTAATTAAAATACACGAGTCTTCAGTTAAAGAAACGTGTGTTATCAGAATCATACTTCTAACAATGTGTAATTAAAATAACTACGTGGCAAAATTTTCCTATATCTATTACTACGAATATTCCAACAAACTGTATCTAGAGTGACAATTTAGTTGTAAAAGCACTAGCAAAACCTTGAAATGGAGCAAAAAGAAAAAAGAAGGCAAAAAAAGATCCATCCAAAGGACAGGTCTAATTTTTTGTCGCAGTTTCTATTCTGGTACCTTACTTAAAAAAGCATTTTAACCTTATAAATTCCATCTTTTCTTAGCTGGCAACTACCAATTTTATTAAATTCGCGCACCTTCACTGAAAATAACTTGTACGAAGCTGCGAAGGAACACAAAGCTACAGCTCTCGGAGACAAGTTGGAATTTTTTTGGAAGCAAGAAGAAAACTATCAAAATCACCCGTCACTAACAAGAGCTCTTTTAAAAACCTTTGGTAAAGAATATTTACTGCAAGGCATTATACTTTTACCAGTTGATCTTGGAGTGATGTTAGCTGACTCGAAAGTTAACGTAATGTCACCAACACGTCTTAGTTTCAGGTTACTGCAACCTTATTGCATGATGAAGTTTTTGAATTGCGTAACAAAACAAGAATGCTTCGACGGGGTCGAAATTTATTTGGTTACTTTAGCAATGGCTTTATCAAATCTGCTACAAGTCTTATTTTATCACTGGATTTACTTGCGGTTTAGTTCTTTCGGAATCAAAGTTAGAGTTGCTTGTTCTTCGTTAATTTACAGAAACTGTCTCCAGATGAAGGGACAGTCGTTTAAAAAAAATTCTGTGGGACTAGTAATAAATTTATTTAATGATGTAAACAGACTCAATGAAATTTTTAACTTTGGTCACTACCTGTGGATTGCACCTTTAAAATTTTTTATTTTTCTCTATTACATTAACGCCCTTTTAGGATCCACAGCACTTACAGGAACTGCGGTACTTGTTGGCTTCTTTTTCGTACAGTGTCTGTAGTTCGAACTTGTAGTATCTTCACTGAAAAAAATGTTTTAGTGGTTGTTTTCAAGCAAATGTTTTTGAGAAAAATTGAAGTGGCTTTGAAAAGCGACGACAGGATTCGTTTAGTAAATGACGTCATCGGTGGAATACAAACAGTGAAGATGTACACGTGGGAAACACCTTTTTCTATACTTGTTAAAGTTGCTAGGAGGTAATGTTTGTGTGTTCTTATACCATCTCCAAATTAACAATTGATTTGTAGATCTGAAATGAAGGCACTCATTAAAGCTAATTTATTGACAATTAATAACAGCACTATCAGGATGTATGTTACGAAAATTGCACTTTTTTTGTGCGTAATGGGCGCCATTTTGACTAAGGTGTCTTTAACACCTGAGTACATTTTTCCTCTGATTAGTCTGTACGAAAACTTAAATCTTGTAGGTATGCTACGCTTTCAGTGGGCTCTAGCTTACTGCACAGAAGCTAAAACTTCCGTTGCACGTATCCAAGAATTTCTTCTTTCGGGATACAAAAAAACTTCTTTGAGAAAGCCATCAAAAAGTACTGACACTTGCAGTCCGAAATCATACCAAAGTTTTGTACCAACTGTTTATGGAATTCATCTTAACAACGTCAGCGTGACTTTCGATACCTCCACCGTGTTGGAAAATATCACCTTTTCAGCCCTTCCTGGACATCTAGTTGGATTATCAGGAAAATCTGGAAGCGGGAAGTCAACACTCCTGCAAGTCATCCTCCAAGAAATTAAAGCAAAAGGCTCGATTGCCGTCGGCGGAAAAATTTCGTACGCGTCCCAAGAAGCTTGGATTTTTTCCGCAAGCATTAAACAAAACATTCTTTTCGGGGAAGAAGAAGACGAGAAGAAATATCGCAGAGTGATTCGAGCGTGTGCTTTGGAACACGATTTGTCTCTTTTCGCTAACGGTGACCAAACTCTCGTCGGTGAACGAGGGGTGATGTTGAGCGGAGGTCAAAAATCGAGGATAAATTTAGCCAGAGCTGTGTATCGAGATGCTGATATTTATTTATTAGACGATCCTCTAGCCGCTGTTGATGCCAGGGTGGCGCAACACATCTTCAATGAGTGCATTTTGGGGTACTTGAAAGACAAGTGCGTAGTGTTGGCAACCCATCACTTGAAGTACTTGAGGAACGTTAAAAAACGATATATTATAAATGAAGGAAAAGTGATCGAGGAAGCTTTAAGTGAAAGTGTTTTTATGGAACTTGATGAAAGAATACTCCATGAAGAGGTTGTCAAATCTCACAATTTGCCTCCCGAAATTCTAGAAAGTTCTACAACAAACTACAACACACAACAAATTTACAAAAAGTATTGTTTTGCTGGAAACCATTGGATGGGGCCATGTTTGATAATCACACTAATTTTATTAACTCATTCCTTACATAGCTTCATCGCTATGTTCATTATTTTTCCATTACTTGCAAACAAGACAGAGACGTCCTATTTATTCGACCTGACGTTAGAAAACTTCTTATATGTTTACGGGTCTCTGATTGTTCTTGTCTTCATTTTTAATCACACTGTCTCTTCGATATATATAACACATTTCATGTCTGTGTCAAAAATTTTGCATAATTCGTTGGTAGACAAAATGTTGGCAGTTCCGATGAAATTCTTCAATGAACATCCTTCTGGTAGGATTCTTAATCGGTTTTCACAAGACATGAGATACGTTGATGAAAATGTACCCATGTGTTTGTACGAAGTAGTTAGGACAGCCTTGTACGGACTTGGAGCAGTGGTAATTATAATAATTTTAAATTATTGGTTAATATTACCAACGGTAGCAATCATTCCTTTGATTTATTACTACACGCGGCTATTTCAACCGCTCATCAGAAATCTGAGAAAGCTGCTAGGAATCAGTAAGTTAGCAGCTCCGTTTTTGTCCTATAAAACTAGTTATATTTCAGCTAAAAGTCCTATTCTGACTTACGTCGTTACTTCGCTGCGCGGACTTCCAACAATACGGGCACTTAACAAACAAAACGTTTTAATTGAAGAATTCGAATACCTCCAAGACACTCATTCCTCTGTTTTCTATTTATTTAAGTCTTTATTTTTTACTTACACGTTTTGGATCGATATAATATGCTTCATATATTCCACAATTGTGACTTTCAGTTTTTTAACTTTCAACACAGGTGAGTACTACGCGGTACTTAATAGACTTTGCTCACGTGATATTACTTCCAGACACCTCGGTAGCAATTGTAGGTTTAGCTGTCAGTCAAGCAAATAGTTTGGTAGGTTTAGTCCAACATACCATGAAAACGTGGAGCGAATTAACTGCCATCATGACTTCTGTAGAACGAGTACTAGAATACATAGAATTACCGCAAGAACTAAACGACGGTACTTTCGTGCCACCACCATCCTGGCCCCAAGTCGGACAAATCGACTTTAAATCAATATCGATGCGGTACTCTCCAGACAAACCTTTAGTACTAAAAAATATTGAGATTAAAATTCACCCAGGGGAAAAAGTGGGAATCGTTGGCAGAACTGGAGCCGGAAAAAGCTCTCTGGTGTCCACTCTGTTTCGTCTAACGTATTTCGAAGGTCAGATTGTCATAGACAACGTAGACACCAAAATCGTACCGCTGAATGTTTTGCGATCAAAAATCACCATCATTCCACAAGATCCGATACTATTCGTAGGTCCTATAAGAAAAAATTTAGATCCGTTTGATGAATTCAGTGATTCTCAAGTTTGGAGTGCCTTGGAGGCTTTCAACTTGAAAACGTTTATAGCAAACTTGCCACTGGGTCTTGAGACTCTGGTGGACGAAGGTGGTACCAACTTTAGCGTAGGACAGAAACAGTTGTTGTGTTTGTCGAGAGCGATGTTGAAGAAGACTAAGATTTTTGTCTTGGATGAAGCCACAGCTAGCGTTGATTTGCAAACGGATGAAGCAATTCAGGCCACCATTCGAGAAAAGTTTAAGGATTGCACAATTTTGGTGATAGCACATCGCTTAGAAACTGTTATGGATTCCGATAAAATTTTAGTTATGGATGATGGCAGGGTTGTGGGGTTTGGGAAACCTGAGGAATTATTGATAAATCAAGGAGGAATTTTTTCTCAGTCTTTACATTCAGTAATAAATTAAACTTGCTTAAGTATCTAATGTTTAGCAACTAGAAAGTGTGCATTAAACCTGTTCTAAAATATAACAATAGTTTCTTTGCGAATACAACCAAAAAACGAGAGCGCTGTAGTACGTGGGCAGAATATTGTACACACGCATAATTAATTATCCCAGTAATAACTTCTGCGAGAAGAGCGATTAGACAGTTCTTAGAGTTGAATTTAAATGTGTGGGTTTGATAGCTTTAACAGTTGTATTTCGGTTATATGTTTATATTACACTTATATTCCTGCAACTTTATAATTTACTGAAATAAACAACAACATTTTGTTGAGTACAGTGAAGAAGAAATTCGTTTTTGTGATAAGCGGCAAAACTATACAATTTTGTGTCTGAATGGATCACATTACTGATAAGCTCGTAGTTGTATTGATACAATAAAAAATGTAGTCACAGTTCCCAAAATACTCAAAACAGTTGCCCTATTTACATAGAAAAAACGTGCGGCTGAAAATTTTGGAAAACTGTGCTTAATCGTTTTGCTCAGCTGTCGAAATATTTCTTCTTCTGCCAAGTTCTTGCAGTTCCGTTGCAGAACATAAGGTTTATCCAACATATCTTCAGCTTCTTTCCAAATTAAGTCAATCCATAGTATAACCAAGAACGTGCCAATCTACAACTCACAAGTACAATTTTTTGAAACAAAATAGTCGTTTTAGAATTTACAACTGTTAGCAAAACCAGAGCAAAGTCAGCTAGGATTTTTTCTTTCAACTGGGGGTCATTTTGGTTGGTGGAATTTATAAAAATGAAGTCTAGATTGTTGAGTATATAATAATAATAATAAATAATAATAAATCTTTATTTGTGCTAATAAAAAATTTTTACACGCGTCAGAAGAAGCTAATAAATACATCGAACATAATTTTATAAAAATAAATAACAATTTTTAAAAGAAACAAATTAGAATTAACTCTATAAATATATATGATCTACTATATAATAAATTAAGCACCACTAGATAGTAACACCAGGTCATTAAAATTATTATTTAGGTATTCATCTAAAGAATAAAAAGCCTTTCGTATCAAATATTGTTTCACATTTTTTAGAAAATCATGACTGTTGTATCTACGTACTTCGTCAGGCAGTGTTCAAAAATTTTATGCAAAAATAATTAATGGCATCCCTCGACTTAGTGAGACGCAAGTTTCTGAAACAAATATCCTCGTGTCTAGTCCTGTAGTTGTGATAGAGGTTGACTTTGGGATATAATTCTGTATGCCGAGTAATAAATTCCAAACATCGATAAATATAAAGCGAAGGAAGTGTAAGTATTTTTAGTGACTTGAAGTACGCTCTACAATCTTCTCTGTATCCTATATTAGCTATTATTCTGATTGATCTTCGTTGTAGTTTAAAGAGTCGTGATAAAGATGATGAGTGCCCCCAGACTAAAATGGAATAATTGAGAAGAGAGTGTATCAGAGCATAATAGGCCATACATAAACAGTTTAAAGAAAGATTATTAGCCAAATTTCTTAAAAGGAAGGTATTTTTTGAAATTTTATCTGACATATAATTACCGTGCTGACGCCAAGTAAGTTCCTTATCGATAATGACTCCAAAGTACTTTGTATATTCCGCACATTCGATGGAACATTCGCAGGGTCTTAATGTGAAGAGCATTGAGACACATTTTGTTTTATTTAAATGGAGTCTATTTGCACTGAACCACTCTGCGGCTTTCTTCATAGAATTTTGATTGGCGTTGAAGGCAAGGTCGGCAGTTACTCCTGCTGTACCAATGCAAGTATCATCAGCGTAGAGAGTTACATCAACTTCTTTAAGGTAGTCTGGAAGATCATTTGTATATAGCAAGAACAATATTGGTCCCAAAATGGACCCTTGAGGAACCCCATAATTAACAGAATAAGTACAAGATGATTTGTTGTCAATGGATACGCTTTGCGTTCTATTTTTAAGGTAACTCATAATCAGATTTATACTCGGTGGTTGGAAATTATAGTAATATAATTTTCTTAACAGAATATCGTGAGTTACGCACTCAAAAGCCTTACTGAGATCTAAGAAATGGGTTGAATAATATTCTTTACGTTCAAAGCTCTGGATTATCTTATCGACTAGTGCACTGATGGCTGTAGAAGTAGAGAGGCCTTTACGGAAACCAAATTGTTGTAATGTCAGAAGGTTATATTTGTTTAGATATTCCGTAATCTGCTGTAGCATTAGTTTCTCAAAAATTTTCGAAAAAATTGGTAATAATGATATTGGCCTGTAATTGCCAATATCATCAGGATCGCCTTTTTTGTATATAGGAACCACACTGGCTCGTTTGAGACAATCAGCGAATAAATTCACTTCAATGCAGGAGTTTATCAGATTGGTAAGCGGTTGTATTAATATGTCTTTAAGGGATTTAATAAGTGGTACTGTAAATCCATAAATATCTTTCGAATTATTATTTCGTAAGCTAACAAAAGCATCTCGTACTTGGATATAAGTTACTTATTTAAAATTAAATGAGGTATTTATATTAGGTACATTTGTCATTAAGCTAATGGGATCAAATTTTGGGGGAGTCAAGGTTGAAATGATGTCTGTAGCAATATTTGTAAAAAAGGGATTAAATTCATCAGGTGTTGTGGCAAAAGTTTGTTTAGGTTGTTTTTTGGGATTTTTACATTTGATCAATTTCCACATTGCTTTAGGACTATTTTTGTTTAATCTAATATATTTATCATTAGCTTGTTTTTTTGCATTTTTAATAGCTATATTGTATTTACGTCTAAATTACAGTAACAACGATTTGAGTTCTAAAGTTCCATGCAATTTATAAGCTTCGGAAAGCAATTTTAATGTTTCTCTCATATTTTGAAGTTCTGTTGAAAACCAATTATTACTTGGAATTTTGCTTCTATTATAGCAGACTATAGTTTTTACAGGAAATGCAATATAATAGTTATATAAGATGGTATTAATGAACATGTTAAACTTATTGTTAATATCAATATCAGATTTTACAAAGTCCCAATTAACTGCACTTAATAGATTGAAAAAAATTAATTTACCATGATTCGTGAGGGGTCTTGTAAGTTTGAATTGTTTTTCTTGTGTTTTAAAAATTTGAGAAATATTAATAGCTACTCCTTTATGATCTGACAGATGGGTCTCAAAAGCACTCACCTTTATGTTTTCACTTGAGAAATTGCAAAAGACATTGTCAATACAGGAACTTCCCCTTGTTGGAAAAGTCACTAAAGGTTGGAAACCATAACTAAGTAAGAAATCACAAAACATTTGCGCCTTTACGTCGTTTACATTAAAATGAAGGTTAAAATCACCGCCAATTAGTATACGTTTCTGTTTATAATTAATGATATTAAGTAACTTAACTAAAGTTTCAATAAAAACATCATAATCACCACTGGGTGATCTATACAATGATATTAACAATACATCAAATTTATGTACATATACGCCGATTAATTCACAATGAATTTCTTTGGATATATTACTTAGTTGTGGTAGGTCTTCATACTGTAGGGAAGGATCTATGCATTGAACCACGCCACCATGAGTGGGAGTCACTCTCGAAAAAGAATCAGCCACTCTAAAATTATTATTAATTGTAACGCATTCTGTTTCATCACTGGTTAACCAGTGCTCACTTATGCACAAGACACTAAAATTATGATTATGTAAAATAGCTTCTAGCAGATTAATTTTATTCCTGATGGACTGTATATTTAAAAACAAAATTCTCAAGTCAGATATTTCTTGATTTTGCTGTGGTTGCTATATATTGTTATATTTTGTTTTAGCCTGGGCGTGTTGCACTTGTTTTTTAAGTACTTCACATTTTGGGTCAAAACGTGAGTGATTAATGTCTAAGTCTAATTTCAAATTCTTATTTGCTCTGATGCAATTAATACACGACGTTTCTGCCTTTTCACATTCAATTTCGACGTGTTCACGACTGTCACAGTTTAGACAAATCTTTGTCCCTTCTTTACAATATTTCGCTGTATGATTGTAACCACCGCAATTGTAGCATCGAATTATTCCAAAATGCTCAAAAATTCGACATTCATCCCAATGTATAAGAACTGTTTTTAATTTGATAAATTCTAAAAATGACTTTCGATCGACTTCTACTATCGCCATATATTTTTTTTTCATTTTCTTGCAGATAACAAGTTTCCATGTGTTTATAAGATCCTTCAAAGTACTGTTTTGTCTAGTTATGCATCTTTTTAGAGACTCTTCATTATATGATTCGCTTAAACCAACAATTTTTATCATGGGATTTCTTAACCCAGATTTTCGAATTGTGTAATCCTCGCTGAGTTTTTGCGTACTAATGTTATGCAGTTTAGTAATATCTTTTTTCTTATTGCACCCGATAACAACACCTCCATTTCTCAGTTGTTTAACGTGGTTTACTCCTATGTCTTCAGCAACGGGGTCAATTGATTGTTGTATTGATTCCAGAGTAACTCTGCTGGTTTGATTAGTTTTTGGTTTTATAATAACTACATCCTGTTTCTTTACTATATCGCTGAATTTTGGCTTAGCTTGCAAGTTTTCCGTTATAGAGTGGATGTCGCTAAATTTGTGCTCAATGGTTTTATTAATTTCATTCTTAAATTTGGTGAAGTGATGAAAAAGTTCATTTTTCAATTCGTCGACTAGACTTTTTGTGTCACTATCACTGGTATTAGGTTTTTCAAAGCGTTCACCTTCTAATTGCTGATTAATGGAAGATACCAATTGTCGTAGTTCGTTTTTTAGGTACGATATTTCTGTTCGTAAGGCCTCATTTTCCGTTCGTAGTTTTGTTATAATTACCTCCTGGGATTCCGCACCATTTTCAGACATGCCAATAGACATTTCATCCTCCGATAGTGGTAGTGGTGTGTAATGTTTAAAACACATCATTTCGTTCTCACTTAATAATTCACATTTTTTCCCTCGATTTGATAGTACGTGGAGACAACTTTTATGGTAAACCTCTTTACACTTTACACAAGTTATAATAGTATTTACGGCTTTTAAGTTACATCTTTTACAAATTTTATCACCATTTGCTGTTGGAGCGACATCGGACACAACTTTCTGCTGCAACATCACACGCTAAAGCGTATATATATATTCATATAGAGAACGGTATATGAAATAGACATAGCTGTTGGCCATCCAAAAGTGTCATTGACAGCGTTGGTGGTATCTTTCAGAAAATATAAATTACGTTCAACTTTTTTTAACCATATGAAACATCCAGGTTGGTCCAAAATTGCACTCACGTACTTGTATTGCACCAAAATGGTATATAGTATAAAACTCAAAAACGTGTTATAGGAATAGAGAAGATAATAGTTGAAGTAATGAATATTATACTCAGTGATAAAGTGAAAGCCGTAATAACCAATCCAAAATATGTACACTGCAAGAAGGATAACGATTTCAACTACAAGTTTCAGAATGTAAATTTTTGCATATCGTGCGACTTTTGTATTTTCCAATGATGAAATCATAATGTGGAGGTTGTTCATTAGCATTTCCCACTTTCCTTTGTTCCACAATACTAAAGAGACAGGAGTGTAACAAACAAAAATTGGTAGATTCACATCCGTTAAAAAAAATAACGCTGCTTTAGCGTAGTATAACTTGTAACCATTTCTGTGAATTGAAAACACTACTGTCGCAATAAAGTTCAAAGTGGCGAACAGAAGTGTATACAATTTTTGAGTTAATGTAATCGGGTGATTGTAAGATGGGACGAAGGAGAGAATTTTACCGAGATTAAACAATATGGTAATAAAACTAGCCATGCTTGCTTTTTCAGAGAGTTTTTCTGCGTTACTGACACCCATGGTAGTAACTTTATTGGTTTTATCGACAAAATAGTGGTTAATTAAAGATAATATAATGCGATGGACTCCATTTGTTTATTTTCACGTAAGATGACCCTGAACAAATTGAATAAAAAATATTGACTAAAAACGCAATTTAAGTGGATTGCCTGTATAGCTTTTCTGTCAAAGCAAAATCATGTTGGTTATAATTGCTTGTTTTTTCTTTAATACTACCTGATTTTTTCTTGTGGATCTATTTAACTGGCTTTTTCGTTCCTACTTCTAGACAACCTGAGAAATAGAACAAAAACTGACTTGTGTTTTGGGACTTTAGGCTAAATAATAAATATTGAACATGTTTTAGCATTTTTTCTAATCGTAAAAACGCTGTATATCTAGCAATGTAATTTCGTGCATATTTACTACTTTGATGACTGATATGATAAAGCATTGGGCGGGTTTTTTATGCGAGTTGTTGACTTCCGATGAAGTTTTTTTTTGACTACTTGAGACTCGAGAATTACAACTCTAGTTGTTGGCACCGAGTTTTAAATTTGAGACAGGAAAACTCACTGAATGAATATAAAAGTGACGAAACTGGTTAACTAAAACTTTGTAGGTACGTTATATAGGAGCCTTCGGTGTGTCATCATTATCATACCTACTTTTAACACATATAATTAAAATAACTACGTGATAACATATCCTTATCACAACTCCTTTGAATACTCGAATAACAACGTGCATCCACCTTGAATATTCGGTTGTAAAAGCACAAACAACCAGCAAATAGTAGAAATGGAACAAAAAGAAAGAAGAAAGAAAAAAAAGGTCAATCCAAAAGACAGGTCTAATTTTTTGTCGCAGTTTTTATTCTGGTACTTTACTTTAAAAATATGTTACTTTTATAAATCCCGTCTTTTCCCAGCTGGGAACTACCAATTTTATTAAAATCGCACATGTTCACCGAAAACAATTTGTACGAAGCTGCGAAAGAACACAAAGCTACAGCTCTCGGAGACAAGTTGAAATTCTTTTGGATTAAAGAAGAAAACTGCCAAAAGCACCCGTCACTAACAAGGGCTCTTTTAAAAGCGTTTGGTAAAGAATATTTACTGCTAGGTATTATACTTTTACCATTTGATGTTGGAGTGATGTTAGCTGTTCCTGAAGTTGATGTCATTTCACCAACACGTCTTACTTTCAGGTTACTGCAACCTTATTGTATGAAGAAATTTTTGAACTGCTTTGCACAACAAGAATGCGTCGACGGAATCGAAATCTATCTGGTTACTTTGTCAATCGCTTTAGCAAATTTGTTACAAGTGTTATATTTTCATTGGTTCTATTTGCAGTTCAGTTCTTTTGGAATCAAAGTTAGAGTTGCTTGTTCTTCGTTAATTTACAGAAAGTGTCTCCACATGAAGAGACAGTCGTTTAAAACAAATTCTATTGGACAAGTGGTAAATCTGTTTAACGATGTAAACAGATTCAACGATGTTTTCGTCGTTTGTCACTACCTGTGGATTGCACCTTTAAAAATTTTGATCACTTTGTATTACATAAACGTCGTTTTAGGATCCTCGGCATTTACAGGAATTCCGATAATTATTTGTTTCTTCTTCGTGCAGTGTCTGTATTTCGAACTTGTAGTGTCTTCACTTAAAAAACTGTTTTAGTGGTCGTTTCCAAACTAATGTTTTTGAGAAAAAGTGAGGCCGCTTTGAAAACCGACGACAGAATTCGTTTAATAAATGACGTCATTTGTGGAATTCAAACAGTGAAGATGTACACGTGGGAAACACCTTTTTCTAAAGTTGTTAAAGCTGCTAGAAGGTAATGTCTGTGTGTTCTTATACCACGTCTGAATTAACAACAGATTTGTAGAACTGAAATGAAGACACTTATTCAAGCTAATTTCTTATCTATTAATAACAACACTGTCAGGATGTATGTTACGAAAATTGCACTTTTCTTGTGCGTACTGAGCGCCATTTTGACTAAAGTGCCTTTAACACCTGAGTATATTTTTCCTCTAATCAGTATCTACGAAAACTTAAACCTTATAACCGTACTACGCTTTCAGTTGGCTGTAACTTCCACTACAGAAGCCATAACTTCGGTTGCTCGCATTCAAAAATTTCTTCTTTCAGGACACAAAAAAGCTCCTTTAAAACATCCATCAAAAAGCACTGACACTTGCAGTCCAAAGTCATACCAAAGTTCTGAACCAACTGTTTTTGGAATTCATCTTAACAACGTCGACGTGACTTTCGATACCTCCACCGTGTTGAAAAATGTCACCTTTTCAGCTCTTCCTGGAGATTTAGTTGGATTATCAGGAAAATCAGGAAGCGGGAAGTCAATAGTCTTGCAAGTCATCCTCGAGGAAATTAAAGCAAAAGGCTCGATTGCCGTCGGCGGAAAAATTTCGTACGCGTCCCAAGAAGCTTGGATTTTTTCCGCAAGCATTAAACAAAACATTCTTTTCGGGGAAGAAGAAGACGAGAAGAAATATCTCAGAGTGATTCGAGCGTGTGCTTTGGAACGCGATTTGTCTCTTTTCGCTAACGGTGACCAAACTCTCGTCGGTGAACGAGGGGTGATGTTGAGCGGAGGCCAAAAATCGAGGATAAATTTAGCCAGAGCTGTGTATCGAGATGCTGATATTTATTTATTAGACGATCCCCTAGCTGCTGTTGATGCCAGTGTGGCGCAACACATCTTCAATGAGTGTATTTTGGGGTACTTGAAAGACAAGTGCGTAGTTCTGGTGACCCATCACTTGAAGTACTTGAGGAACGTCAAAAAACGATATATTATAAATAAAGGAAAAGTGGTCGAGGAAGCTTCGAGTGAAAATGATTTCATGGAGTCTGATGAAGCAATCCAAGAAGACTTCATCAAATCTCACAATTTACCTCCCGAAATTCATGAAAGTGCCACAACCAAATATAGCACACAACAAATTTACAAAAAGTATTGGTGTTCTGGAAACCACTGGATCCTACCATGTTTGATATTCGCTCTACTTTTATTAACTCATTCCTTAAATAGCTTCATCGATATGTTTATTGTTTTTCCAATCATTTCAAACAAAACAAAGTCTTTCTATTTCTTCAGCTTGACGTTAGAACACTTCTTATATGTTTACGCTTCTCTGATTGTCCTTCTCTTCTTTCTTAATCACACTTTGTCTATGATATTTATGAAACATTGCATGTCTATTTCAAAAACTTTACACAATACGTTGTTAGACAAAATTTTGGCCGTTCCGATAAAATTCTTCAACGAGCATCCTTCCGGTAGGATTCTTAACCGGTTCTCGCAAGATGTGACTCGCGTTGATGAAACTGTACCCTTCTGTTTATACGAAATGGTGAGATCAGCCTTCGACGCACTTGGAATAGTGATAATTGTAGTAATTTTAAATTATTGGTTAATATTACCAACGTTGGCAACAATTCCTTTCATTTATTTGTCCACTTGGCTCTTTCAGCCGCTCAACAGAAATCTAAGAAAGCTGGAAGGAATCAGTAAGTTGGTAGCTCCGTCTTTATCCTATAAAACTAGCAATGTTTCAGCTAAAAGTCCTATTCTGACTTACGTCGTTACTTCGTTGCGCGGACTTCCAACAATACGAGCTTTTAACAAACAAAAACTTTTAATTGAAGAATTCGAATCCCACCAAGACACTCATTCCTCTACTCTCTACTTATTTAAGTCCTTATTTTTTACTTACACGTTTTGGATCGATTTAATATGCTGCATATATTCCACAATTATCACTTTCAGTTTTTTAACTTTCAACACAGGTGAGTACCACGCGAGACTTACTAGAACTTTACCCACAAGATATTACTTTCAGAGACATCGGTAGCAAATATAGGTTTAGCTGTCACTCAAGCAAGCATCTCGGTAGGTTTAGTCCAATACGTCATGAAAACGTGGAGCGAATTGAGCGCTAACCTGACTTCTGTAGAGCGAGTACTAGAATACACAGAATTGCCGCAAGAACTAGACGACGGTACTTTCGTTCCACCACCATCGTGGTCCCAAGTCGGACAAATCGAGTTTAAATCAATATCGATGCGGTACTCTCCAGACAAACCTTTAGTACTAAAAAACATTGAGATTAAAATTCACCCAAGGGAAAAAATTGGAATCGTTGGCAGAACTGGAGCCGGAAAAAGCTCTCTGGTGTCCACTCTGTTTCGTCTAACGCATTTCGAAGGTCAGATTCTCATGGATAACGTAGACACCAAAATCGTACCGCTGAATGTTTTGAGATCTAAAATCACCATCATTCCACAAGATCCGATACTATTCGTAGGTCCTTTAAGAAAAAATTTAGATCCGTTTGATGAATTTAGTGATTCTCAAGTTTGGAGTGCCTTGGAGGCTTTCAACCTGAAAGCGTTAGTAGCAAATTTGCCACAGAGTCTTCAGACTCTGGTGGACGAAGGTGGTTCCAACTTTAGCGTAGGACAGAAACAGTTGTTGTGTTTGTCGCGAGCGATGTTGAAGAAGACTAAGATTTTTGTCTTGGATGAAGCTACGGCTAATGTTGATTTGCAAGCGGATGAAGCAATTCAGGCCACCATTCGAGAAAAATTTAAAGATTGCACAATTTTGGTGATAGCGCATCGCTTAGAAACTGTTATGGATTCCGATAAAGTTTTAGTTATGGATGATGGCAGGGTTGTAGAATTTGGAAAACCTGAGGAATTGTTGATAAATCAAGATGGAATTTTTTCTCAAGCAGTACAGCGACGTGTAGAAGAGTGAATTTTTTTTTCTGTAATAATAGTAAATTGTATTTGCTTACCTATCTAGACAGTTTTATTTTCATCAATTTTTAGTAACAAAAAAGGATTCAGCACTTCAATAAATCTAGTACTGTCACTGGTACTGTAGTATGATCAGGGCGGTCCACGTTGTCTTTCAGAACATATTTGTACAACTCTATTTTCTTGAAATGGGTATACATATAGTAGTGTTAGATGAAATTGTTTTACAAAAATTACGACTGAAATTTTGGGTCAAGATTTCGGAAAATATTGAATGGTCATTTTGGACGAAATGGACATTAACCCGGATTGGATTGATATATCCAAAGTAGAGCAAAGATTGGTAGCATTATTTTACAGAAGCATGCAACAATTGCTACCAATGCTAAGTGGAAGCAAGTAGCATCATACTATTGCACTGGTGATGGTACCAATGGAGCAATTCTTGCAGATATTTTAGATTTTTTTAGAAAAGTCACTTCAGTTGGTTTAAGTATTCAATCCGTGACTTCAGATATGGGCTCACCTAATCAGGCAATGTGGACATTACTCTTTTGATACAATCATGATAAGGGCACACACCCTGGCCGTTATTTAACTTAGTTTTATGTTTGTTTGTTGTTCTCTTTGAAAGTGACATTAAAAACTGACTTTTTACTCACTAATTATTGTGCAACAAGTACGTTATTATGAGTGTGAAAGTAATGTAACTAGTTAATTAAAATACAGGAGTTAAAGAAACTTGTGTTATCAGTATCATACTTCTAACAATATGTAATAAAAATAACTACGTGGCAAAATTTTCCTATCTCTATTACTTTGAATATTCCAACAAACTGTATCCAGAGTGACAATTTAGTTGTAAAAGTACCAACAACAAGTGAACACTTGAAATGGAGCAAAAAGAAAGAAGAAAGCAAAAAAAGATCCATCCAAAGGACAGGTCTAATTTTTTGTCGCAGTTTCTGTTCTGGTACCTTACTTTAAACATATTCTACCCTTATACTCTCCATCTTCTCTTAGCTGGCAACTACCAATTTTATTAAAATCGCGCACCTTCACTGAAAACAACTTGTACGAAGCTGCGAAGGAACACAAAGCTACAGCTCTCGGAGACAAGTTGGAATTTTTTTGGAAAGAAGAAGAAAACTATAAAAATCACCCGTCACTAACAAGAGCTCTTTTAAAAACCTTTGGTAAAGAATATTTATTGAAAGGCATTATACTTTTACCAATTGATCTTGGAGTGATGTTAGCTGACTCGAAAGTTAACGTAATGTCACCAACACGTCTTAGTTTCAGGTTACTGCAACCTTATTGCATGATGAAGTTTTTGAACTGCGTAACACAACAAGAATGCTTCGGCGGGGTCGAAATTTATTTGGTTACTTTGACAATGGCTTTATCAATTCTGCTACAAGTGTTATTTTATCACTGGTTTTACTTGGAGTTTAGTTCTTTTGGAATCAAAGTTAGAGTTGCTTGTTCTTCGTTAATTTACAGAAACTGTCTCCGGATGAAGGGACAGTCTTTTAAAAAAAATTCTGTGGGACTAGTAATAAATTTGTTTAATGATGTAAACAGACTTAATGAAGTTTTTAACTTTGGTCACTACCTGTGGATTGCACCTTTAAAATTTTTTATTTTTCTCTACTTCATTAAGGCCCTTTTAGGATCCACAGCACTTACAGGAACTGCGGTACTTGTTGGCTTCTTATTCGTACAGTGTCTGTAGTTCGGACTTGTAAATATCTTCACTAAAAAAATGTTTTAGTGGTTGTTTTCAAGCAAATGTTTTTGAGAAAAATTGAAGTGGCCTTGAAGAGCGACTGCAGAATTCGTTTAATAAATGACGTCATCGGTGGAATACAAACAGTGAAGATGTACACTTGGGAAATACCATTTTCGAAACTTGTTAAAGCTGCTAGGAGGTAACATCTGTATGTCCTGATACCACCTCCGAATTAACAATTGATTTGTAGGTCTGAAATGAAGGCTCTCATTAAATCTAATTTATTAACAATTAATAACAACACTATCAGAATGTATGTTACGAAAATTGCACTTTTTTTGTGCGTAATGGGCGCCATTTTGACTAAGGTGTCTTTAACACCTGAGTACATTTTTCCTCTGATTAGTCTGTACGAAAACTTAATTCTTGTAGGTATGCTACGCTTTCAGTGGGCTCTAGCTTACTGCAGAGAAGCTAAAATTTCCGTTGCCCGCATCCAAGAATTTCTTCTTTCGGGACACAAAAAAACTTCTTTGAGAAAGCCATCAAAAAGTACTGACACTTGCAGTCCAAAGTCATACCAAAGTTCTGAACGAAGTGCTTTTGGAATTCTTCTTAACAACGTCAACGTGACTTTCGATACCTTCACCGTTTTAGAAAGTGTCACCTTTTCAGTCCTCCCTGGAGATCTAGTTGGATTATCAGGAAAATCTGGAAGCGGGAAGTCAACACTCCTGCAAGTTATCCTCCAAGAAATTAAAGCAAAAGGCTCGATTGCCGTCGGCGGAAAAATTTCGTACGCGTCCCAAGAAGCTTGGATTTTTTCCGCAAGCATTAAACAAAACATTCTTTTCGGGGAAGAAGAAGACGAGAAGAAATATCGCAGACTGATTCGAGCGTGTGCTTTGGAACGCGATTTTTCTCTTTTCGCTAACGGTGACCAAACTCTCGTCGGTGAACGAGGGGTGATGTTGAGCGGAGGCCAAAAATCGAGGATAAATTTAGCCAGAGCTGTGTATCGAGATGCTGATATTTATTTATTAGACGATCCTCTAGCGGCTGTTGATGCCAGTGTGGCGCAACAGATTTTCAATGAATGTGTTTTGGGGTACTTGAAAGAGAAATGCGTAGTTCTGGTGACCCATCACTTGAAGTACTTGAGGAACGTCAAAAAACGATATATTATAAATAAAGGAAAAGTGGTCGAGGAAGCTTCGAGTGAAAATGTTTTCATGGAGTCGGATGTAGTAACAATGCAAGAGGACGTCATCAAATCTCACAATTTACCTTCCGAAATTCATGAAAGTGCTACAACCAATTATAGCACACGACAAATTTGCAAAAAGTATTGGTTTTCTGGAAGGCACTGGATCCCACCATGTTTGATATTCGCTCTACTTTTATTAACTCATTTCTTAAATAGCTTCATCGATATGTTTATTGTTTTACCAATCATTTCAAACAAAACAAAATCTTTCCATTTCTTCAGATTGACGTTAGAACACTTCTTATATGTTTACGCTTCTTTGATTGTCCTTCTCTTCTTTCTTAATCACACTTTGTCTGTGATATTTATGAAACATTGCATGTCTATTTCAAAAACTTTACACAATACGTTGTTAGACAAAATTTTAACCGTTCCGATGAAATTCTTCAACGAACACCCTTCCGGTAGGATTCTTAACCGGTTCTCGCAAGATGTGACTCGCGTTGATGAAACTGTACCTCTCTATTTATACGAAATGGTAAGATCAGCCTTCGACGCACTTGGAGTAGTGATAATTGTAGTAATTTTAAATTATTGGTTAATATTACCAACCTTAGCAACTATTCCTTTGATTTATTTGCCCACTTGGCTCTTTCAGCCGCTCAACAGAAATCTAAGAAAGCTGGAAGGAATCAGTAAGTTGGTAGCTCCGTCTTTATCCTATAAAACTAGCAATGTTTCAGCTAAAAGTCCTATTCTGACTTACGTCGTTACTTCGTTGCGCGGACTTCCAACAATACGAGCTTTTAACAAACAAAAACTTTTAATTGAAGAATTCGAATCTCACCAAGACGCTCATTCCTCTGCTTTCTACTTATTTAAATCCTTATTTTTTACTTACACGTTTTGGATCGATTTAATATGCTGCATATATTCCACAATTATCACTTTCTGTTTTTTAACTTTCAACACAGGTGAGTACCACACGGTACTTACTAGAACTTTACCTACAAAATATGACTTCCAGGGACGTCGGTAGCAACTACAGGTTTAGCTGTCAGTCAAGCAAGCATCTTGGTAGGTTTAGTCCAATATGTCATGAAAACGTGGAGCGAACTGAGCGCTAACATGACTTCTGTAGAACGAGTACTAGAATACACAGAATTACCGCAAGAACTAGACGACGGTACTTTCGTTCCACCACCATCGTGGCCCCAAGTCGGACAAATCGAGTTTAAATCAATATCGATGCGGTACTCTCCAGACAAACCTTTAGTACTAAAAAATATTGAGATTAAAATTCACCCAAGGGAAAAAATTGGAATCGTTGGCAGAACTGGAGCTGGAAAAAGCTCTCTAGTGTCCACTCTGTTTCGTCTAACGCAGTTCGAAGGCCAGATTCTCATAGATAACGTAGACACCAAAATTGTACCGCTGAAAGTTTTGCGATCAAAAATCACCATCATTCCACAAGATCCGATACTATTCGTAGGTCCTTTAAGAAAAAATTTAGATCCGTTTGATGAATTCAGTGACTCTCAAGTTTGGAGTGCTTTGGAGGCTTTCAACCTGAAAGCGTTTATAGCAAACTTGTCACTGGGTCTTGTGACTCTGGTGGACGAAGGTGCTGCCAACTTTAGCGTAGGACAGAAGCAGTTGTTGTGTTTGTCGAGAGCGATGTTGAAGAAGACTAAGATTTTTGTTTTGGATGAAGCTACAGCTAGCGTTGATTTGCAAACGGATGAAGCAATTCAGGCCACAATTCGAGAAAAGTTTAAGGATTGCACAATTTTGGTGATAGCACATCGCTTAGAAACTGTTATGGATTCCGATAAAGTTTTAGTAATGGATGAAGGTAGGGTTGTGGAGTTTGGGAAACCTGAGGAATTATTGATAAATCAACGAGGATTTTTTTCTCAGGCTTTACATTCAGTAATAAATTAAACTCGCTTAAGTATCTAATTTTTAGCGACCAGAAACGTGCAAAACTTTTTTAGACCTATAAAACACCACTGGAAACTGTATAATAGTAATAAAGAATGTTTAAAATGTTTTTAATACATTGAGAATTGTAGATTTATTAATTTCTATCTAACCTGTTCTAAAAAATATCAATAGTTTCTTTGCGAGGAGAGGCATCAGACAGTTATTAGAATCGAAGTTCGGGGAAAACTTAACCAAAGCTTAAAGAAATTCATGGGGCTACTGAAATAAAAGTTACGGAATCAATAAGCATTTGCAAAGCTGCTGTGTTAGTACGTTCTAAACAGGTATTATTTCCCAAAACAAAGTGGTGAAAAAATCGTAAATTCTCACAAGGAAAGACTGTTGAAGTCGCCAGTGTAAAGACAAAAAAAGTGACGAGAACATTAAAAGCAACCTCTTGCAAATTTATTGTGATGTTTCTAAACATCCATTCACTTAGAAACAAAGTTGAAGAACTTAATGCTTTCGCTAATAACACTATCGACGACATCAAGAGCTGTGCAGCATGGTGTGGGTGAACATTGGATCTCTCCTGTGGAAATGCAGTGCCTACACCTGGATGGTTTTGAGACAAGTGCTTACTATGCTCGACCGGGAGGATACGGCGGATCAATCATCTTAATTCGTAACGGTATAAAATACATTCCATTATCACAATTATCTGATATATCTATAGAGAAGTGTTGTGAATTGGCGGGAGTTTTTATTCCCAGTATAAATACGTTCATAGTAGTAATTTATAGACCACCTAGTGGAAATTTTTATCATTTTGTGTCCAACTTAGCTAACGTATTTTCTTACATTGACACTCTAACATGTAATGTTGTAATAGGCGGCGACTTTAATGTTAAGTTTAACCGCAACGATGCATTTAAAATAGGATCTGTGATCTGTTTAAAAATTTTAATTTAGAATGTTGCTCAAATGTACCTACAAGATATAACAATTGTCTAGATACAGTTTTCACGAATATTTTAAAAAATCGTTACTCCATTTCTCATTGTGATTCGTTACTGTCTGATCATGACGCAATATTATTCATGATGAATACTGAAGATGTTCCTGACGATAAAACTGTCATTACAAACATTAGACCTATAACCCAAATTGGCAAATATAAATTGTTCAATTATTTATCAAAGGTTGACTTTAGTCAGTGGCGTAACATTAAATCTACGGGCCTGTGTTCTACAACACTGTGGGGCCTCTAATGAACAGCGAAATAAAAATTATTTAAAAATACGAGTATAATGAGTAAAGTATGAGTATATTGCAATTAGGGCTTACGTTTTACTAAAATCATTCTACCTGAAACACTGCATTAAAAAACAAAATATAATAACTACCTAAATACATATAATTAAAATGTATATTAGAAATAAAAATGCCCGTTTTTTTATCTCAAAATTGTTTTTTTCTTGCTTTCCTATGGGCACAAGTTGATACAAGATTTGACACATCTAAGCTTCTGGCAATTTGATTTTCAAGTGAGATAATAGGCCAGTGAAGATAATCTGCATTGGCCCATTGTGTTACTTAAACAAAATTTAGTCATTTTTAGTTTCGAAAAAGATCTTTTCGCTGAATTGACACTAGATTTACCAGAATATTACAAGCTGATTACTGTTTCCTTCACTGTAATTCAGGTCACACGAATTACAGTTCGTCGTCTGAGAACTTGTTTGATCTACAGACCAGAGCGCACTCAGGCCAATGTCGACTTTAAGCGTTCGCAAACGATTTGATTTATAAGCCATGGTCCGTGATCTGATATACATCCTATACATCTGATATACATCCATAATTTCTTGCTGTTTCAACTTTCGAATTCTCAGTTTTTCGAAATTTTAGTTTGGGGACTTTTCCGTTTACTCCTAAACTCCTATTTATTATTTAATTTTTAATTTCTCAATTTTTCAAGTTCTCGGTTTTCAGTTTTTCTCTTCAATTTTACGATTTTTAAATATTTCCATTTTTCAATTTTAGACTTTTATAAACTCTTTATTTGTCGATTTTTCAATTAATTGATTTTTCAGGTTTTTTGGTTTTTCAATTTTTCTATTTTTTCAGGTTTCGATTTTTCAACTTCACTTTTTTGATTTTTCGATTTCTCAATTTTTCAATTTTTTAATTTCTCAGTTTTTCGACATTTCAGTTTTAGAATTTTTCAGTTCACTTATTATTCAATTTTTCGATCTTACGATTACGCAGATTTTTGATTTTTCAATTTTTCGATTCTTTAGATTCTCAGTTTTTGGATATTTCAGTTTTGGGATTTTTCAGTTTTTTGATTCGTCAGTTTTTCTTTCATTTTTCAGTTTTTCGATATTTCAGTTCTTCGACTTTCCATTTTTGACTTCTGGATTTTTCGATGTGTCGACTTTTTACTTTTTCGATTTTTAAATTTTAGATTTCTCAATTTTTTTGAATTATAGTTTTTCAATATTTAAAATTTTAGATTTTTCTGTTTCTCGATTTTTCATTTTAGCTCTTCCATATTTCAATTTTTCAAATGTTTCGATTTCTTAATCTTTCGATTTTTCGACTTTCCGGTTTCTGTTTTTCAATTGTCGTTTTTTCAAATTTTCGATTTTTCAATTTTTCAAATTTGACATTTATAAACTGTTAATTTTTCGATTTTTCAATTAATCGATGTTTTGATTTTCCCATTTCTTGACTTTCGAGGGTTTCGATATTCCTGCTGAATTCTTTAATTTTTCGATTTTTAAAGTTTTTGATTTTTCATTTTTTAGTTTTTTTAAAGTTTCGATTTTTCGATTTCACTTTATGGATTTTTCGATTGCTCAATTTTTTGACTTTTTAGGTTCTCAGTTTTTGGATATTTCAGTTTTCGGATATTTCAGGTTTTCCCATTTTTCAGTTTTTCGATATCTCAGTTTTGGGAATTTTCAATATTTTGATTCTTCGACTTTTCGATTTTTGACTCCTGGATTTTACGATGTGTCGATTTTTTTACTTTTTCGATTCTTCAATTTTTCGATTTTTAAATTTTAGATTTTTTAATTTTTAAAGTTTTAGATTTTTCAATTTCTCGATTTTTCATTTCAGTTCTGCGATATTTCAATTTTTCAAGTTTTCGAATTTTTCAAATGTTTTAATCTTTTGATTTTTCGACTACCCGAAATTTTCGATTTTTTAATTTTTCAAATTTGACTTTTATAAACCCTCAATTTTTCGATTTTTCAATTAATCGATGTTTTGATTTTCCCATTTCTTGACATTCGAGTGTTTCGATTTTCCTGTTCTTCAAATCTTTAATTTTTCGATTTTTCAGGTTTTTGATCTTTCAATTTTTCGATTTTTTAAGGTTTCGACTTCACTTTATGGATTTTTCGATTGCTCAATTTTTTGACTTTTTTAGTTCTCAGTTTTTGGATATTTCAGTTTTCGGATTTTTCAGGTTTTCCCATTTTTCAGTTTTTCTTTCATTTTTCAGTTTGTCGATATCGCAGTTTTGGTATTTTTTAATATTTTGATTCTTTCACTTTTCAATTTTTGACTCCTGGATTTTTCGATGTGTCGACTTCTTTACTTTTTCGATTTTTCAATTTTTCGATTTTTA